TTGAGTATATTCGTGGTCTTGGTTGTGGTCGTGCTCGTGGTCGGACATCGTCATCTAGTCGTAGTCAATCTTCATCGTCTGTGAATATGCCCCTGAGAACTGGTACGTTTTGGTTTTTTACATTGCACATTGTTTATAAGGTTACTCCTGCCTTCTTAACTGTGTTTAATTATATGGTGAATAGGAAGAAACGATGTTGATCAGTTTCCGTACAAGGACAGGATACCTAACATCATCATGCCGTACTTGGAAGGGTGGAATGATGTAGTCGGAGATGGTAACTGCGGATTCCGAGTCGTGGCTGATGTTTTTCAAATGGGCGAAGACAACTACGGTTTGGTGCGTCAGTTGATGTACATCGAAATTGCCTCTAACCGAAATGTTTATCGTCATGTGTATCAGGATGACTTGGATGGCGCTCTGCGGCGTATCCGGTGGGGAGGTGGACCTTGCGGTCAAAATCATTATTTTGACGCGCCCCTAGATCTGTTTGCTGTTGCAAACATTTACAAGTGCACAATCATGCATTTCGGGTTGGGATTGCATAGTCAATCTTATTATCCTTGTACCACGGTTCTCCCTTGGCGTTCGCGTGAGACTGTCACCACACCGGTCAGAGAGGTAGCTATTGCGTTTCTTGGGTCGTCATACAGACATTTCATCCGACTAGACATGTCATCCGATTTTCCAGTGCAACCGATTATACCTCGGTGGTACACCATTCGCACAGCGAGCGTAGAGGGTTGGGATGCGCTATATCATGACCGGATCCACGAATGGAACACCCTAGCTGCATTTTAGTTTTTCATGTTTACATTCATCCTATGTAACCTTATTTGTACGTTGCTATTTTAATGAGAACATTAATTTTTTATATTGTATTGCTTACTGCATTCTATATGTTGCATGGGTAAGTTGCGCGGATCCACGAACGGTTATGTCAAAATTTAAAAACAACAATGATATTATGTCAAAGTTGAAAGCTAAAAGAACAATCTAAAATGTTACAAACTTAAAGCATAATGTCCAATTTAATAAATTAAAACGATAACATTTAAAGTGCTCTATAAATAAAATGACAAAACCATCAGTAATCCCTCCTCGACGCCGACTCCCAATGCGCAAGGGTCTGTTCCAGACTATCAACAGAAGCTCTCACTGTTGCACTCATGTTGTCCTTCTCCAGAGAGAGTTTCTGTACGTCCTGCATTATCTTTCCCATCCACTGCATACAACAAAAAATAAAACATGAAATACAATAACAACATATAAAACTTAATTAAAAAACAACGATAAATATTGTATGAGACATACCGCTTCCATGGCAGTAGGCAGTGGCATATAATCATCATCGCTGTGGTCGAGATCTGCGATCAACCTCGGGTGCGAATGCCGGTTGAACCATTCCATGTAGTAGTGGTCACACATGGGAGGAACCCCAGATGGCGGCCTCTGCAACTCCGCAGTCCATAAACGGGCCACCATCGGAAACTGGTCCCACGTCCCAGTCATGATATCCGGCCATTGCACGACGTAGTCCCTCGACGATGCAGGTCGGACCGCCTTCATCGGGCATGCCGGGGGAGGAGGGACAACTTGGACAAATCCAAGCTGGCGAAGACAACGCTGGGGCATGTATGCCTCGACTATCTCACGATACTGAATGAGTCCCGTGTACAGAGTCCTGGGTAGTTCGGGCCGAAAGGCATCCAGTTCACCTGCACATAGTTTTAAAATTTAATAACATGAATATAATAAGTGCATATAATAAAATGTAGAAATAATTTATAAACGTTACCTCTAAGGGGGACAGCCTGTCAAGCAATAGTATCGATCGAAGGCGGTCAACGGACTTCTTCTCCGAGCGCGGACTCCACGCACAAGCACGCGGCATCCCCTCATCAATAGGAACCGGGTCACGATGTGGTCGCAATGCAGGAAAGTACTCGTATATCCAAGTCTGCAATAAAGTCAGACACCCAGTGATAGTTGTCGCGTCAGCCCGACTCGCAAATCCTAGTTGGCGATACAAATACGCCAACGTAGCCGATCCCCAAGAAAACAGGCCTACACTGTCGGGGTCACACGCCTCTACTATGTCGCGTGGCCTGAGCTTATTTCCGCCGCTCTTATCCGGAAACAAGGTACATCCGAGGAGTATTAAAACATAAGCAGCCAGCTGTGCGTCGTGCGTCCTACGTGCACTGGGGTACAAACACCGCTGCAACACGAATGCGATCTTCACACCGTCGTGTTCCCAAACACCAAGCGCCTCAGTGTACAGTGCAGCCCTGTCCACCGCCAACAACTCCACCAGCAAATCTGCCTGATCTGCATCAGCCACAGCACAAAGTCGTTTACCCTCAACATGAATCCCCAGAATGGCCTCGACGTCATGTAACATGATTGTCATCTCACCGAACGGAAGGTGGAAAAAGTTTGTATCTGGCTGCCATCGCTCAACGAAAGCCATGATCAGCGTACTGTCAATCTTATCGTGCATGGTGGCAGGAACGTGATTCACCCCAGTGCCCTCCAGTCGCTCGAACATCTCGCTCTCCGTCGACCAAGCCTCGGCCCATGTACGCAAAAAGCTACAAGTCTTTTCCCGGGTATGACATTTCAACAACCCCGTAACTGAAGGCCTCTCTTGGTCCTCCCAAATGCGGGCATCTATGTGTCCTAGAAAGCTAGGAATCACACTCCCGTCAATAGGCCCACCGGGCACCTCACTCCTAACAACCCAAGAATAATTAACGGCCCTCGACCGTTTCCTGCTTGCCCCAGATACAGTGGACGCAGATGATGTGCCAGATCTACTAACAAACCTACCACCCCTACCCTTACGCACCTCCACCATATGTGTCTCGTATATGTCATCAACCCTCTGACTGAATGGACCGTAATCATCATACGGTCCACTCCCATTGTCCACATCCTCATCCTCATATGCGTCCTCCTCCTGCTCCTCCTCCTGGTCACCCTCCTCAACATCATCATCGTCATCGTCATCCTCATCCCGACGGTGGATCCGTTCTCTACGAGCCGAGGCCGAAATACCACGGGATCTAACATGTCTATGCCCCGACCTCTCCACTGAATAGCTTCTACTAAGAAGCTCTACACTCTTCCCCGCACCATGACGACCCAGTGAATTCTACAAAAAATTTAAAAATATATAAACATACAAAAGTTTTTTAGAAAAATAAATAACTACCTACAGATACAAAATACCAACACTTCCAACATATCGTCATGTTTATAAACATAAAATTAATAAAGATTATAAAAAATCAAAGACATAATAAATAAATAGGACACAAAACAAAAATTTTAAATTATTTCAACTAATTAAACATAGAAAAATATTATACGGCATACACAAATACACACATAATACCCTAATATATTACAAAATTTATGATTTACAAAAAAAATGTATAAAAATTATTTCAAATAATTAAACATAAAAAATAAAAAACAAATATATTACACATACACAAATACACACATAATACCCTAATGTATTACATATTTTAAATAAAAAAAACAATTACACATTAACACAAACAATTTCCACATACTACATCAATTAAGGCATAAAAAATGTTTAAACATCAAACATAAAAAAAATAAAACATAAACACAAAAAAAAAATCTGATTTTAAAAAAATAAAATATACACGATTTATAAAAAAAACACAAAGTTGATAAATATTTTAAAAAAAATAAAACACATTAACAAAAAAAAATTAGACATAAAACAAAATTATTTTAAATAAAACTAAATTTCTGATTTTGCAAAATAAAAAAAAATAAAAAAAAAACATAAACAAAAAAAACAAAAAAAAAACTAAATTTGGCGCCTGAACTGGACGCCCATCCATAGGCACAGGCGCCAAATCTGGACGCCACAGCCAATGGGCTGGCTTCTGGTTTGGACGGTTGTCCGGTGGCTGGGCTTCCAAGCCAGACGCCACGCCACCGGCGTTGTCTGCCGGACCTGACGCCCCACCACGCTCCACCGTCGCCCTTTTTTTTTAAAAAAAAAATAATAATTAAATAATTACCTTGCCACCAGGTAGCCGCCTTTCCTCCGCCGTCGCCGCCGCCACCTCTTTCCCTTGCCGCCTCGACATTGTCGTAATTAATTTTTTTAAGAGAGGTAGATTTTCTGATTTTTTTTTAGAGAGAAGTAGAGAGTTTTTTTTTTAAAAGGAAAAGGGCAATAAAGTCACTTCAACACATATTTGTGGGCTTTATATGATAATTTGCGGGCGATGTTTAGCGATTCACTAATACTATTGCTTAGCTCGAACAGAGTAAAACTAAGCTCGACTTGGATTGTTTGTAGCTCTAGAGATCATTAATGCTACCAACAAAGTTGCTTGTGGTTAGACCTGTTAAATAGGTATCAAATCTATAAAAAAAAATCGGTCGAATTTGGATCAGGTCGGGTTTCGAGTTAACAGATAATAGAATTGGTTTGGGTATCGCGGTCAACACTTCGGGTTGAATTCTGATCGGGTCAATATAAGGTCGAATTGTTTTGGAAAGGTCGAATTATTATTATTATTATTATTATTATTATTATTATTATTAGTATTATTATTATTATTATTATTATTATTATTTATATAAGTAATAACAACAACAATAACAATGATAATAATAATTATAATAATAATAATTAGAAAAAATAAGTTCAAATAAAATTAGACCAAATAAGCCAAAATAAGGTGAATTCAACGAGGCGTTATTGTACATTATGAGGGAGTTAAAATTTCACTACCATTCACTACCATTTTAAGAGGTGTTAAATGACCAATTCAAAAAGAAAGACACAATTGGAAAATTTTCATCAAACTTTCCCATAATTTACTACTACCTCTGTTTTTTTTAGTTGACACGTTTTGACTTTATACACTATTCACATAACTTATTTTGACTTTGCTTTGTGATTTAGTGTTAGATAAAAACATAGTTATGTGAGGTCTTATTAGTTTCGTCTCAACACCTATTTTCTTTTATCAAAATTTTATGTTTTTTGCTTATACGCAATTAAAGATATTTACATTTAAAAGTATGCGTTGGCCAACGTGCCTAAATGAAATTTATCAAAAAAAAAAAAAGTATTTAACTCACATAAACCAAGACTACATCCATATGATCATGAACCAAAAAATTCACGATGTCTCACAAGGTGCAATAATCCCTCAACATCTGCCTTGCAAGATCAACTGCTCCACTTCTTTTGTAGATCAAGTGCAAATTGTACGCTGCTTCTCTCCGGAGGTCACAATAGCCGGATTTTACATCTTTTGCAGGACCTTTATCTACTTTGATAAGCTCTGGTAAGGGGCAGTCCTCTTGGGAAATTGCAAGGACCCTCTCATAGTAAGTAGCAGCTAATGTGACAAGTCCTACGTGGTGGAATGCACGAGCTATATTATACAAGGCTTCCTGAAATGACTTGGATTAGTACTACAGTCTCATATAAGTGACTTTAAGATTATGCACACAAAGTAAAAGACTTATATATTAAATTGGTATTACAAACTTAGAAAAAACATTAATATTAGGCAATCAGATAATATTTATTAATGTAATAGACTTGTCAACTTTTCAAACTTCATCCCTGAACAAGTTTTCTTATTTAACACCACCAGCTTACCTGGCTATTTTCACAAAGTCGCAGATTGTTGTAAAGGAAAGCTAAGCCTTGTGCAACACACTGATGCTTGTTTTGAAGTCTATGTCCAAGGGCTAAATTGATTAAGGCAGTCCCTGCAAAGTAAGATGCATCAGTTAAATGGAGAATCAACACCAGCACACTCACATTAATCAGATTCGGATAAAATTACATAAAACATACCGACACAGAGATTGGTCAGTGGGGAATTTGGCATATGTTTATGCGCTTCCAAGTATTCCCTTGCAGCTACTTGGTGTTGACTGATCATTGTAAACTGATTTCCAGAAATAATCATGGGTGGCACTAGATCCTTATGTTCAACTCGCATATGATGCAGAAACTTATTATGCTTAGAGAGACGATTCTCTAACCTAAAGCCAGATGAACAATAGTAAGAAATATTTATAAGATAGTTTCAAGTTTCAACCGTAAAAAAAAAATACTGTGGGAGAATAAGTCGAACACAATTCGCCTGGGAGTTAGGCTGAGAGCAGTGTCTCCAAACCTTCTCACACCCCCACACCCCCCTCCCCCCCAAAAGGCGGGGTTTTGGTCCCTCGGAACTCGTAGGGAATTCCCATTCCCTTATCCCTTCTCTCTATGTACATTCTAAATATATAATAAAAATCATTAACGCACAGCTAACCTAAAAACCTCCCTTCTAGCGTAAGCAACTTAAAGCTCGTATTATCAGATACATTCATAGTAAGGGTATGTTCCATAAAGAGAGTAAATCAGATGCTAAGGCTATGTTTAGTTCACCTTATTTTTGCTTATCTAATTTGAACTTATTTTTTCAGATCTAATTTGAACTCTCTTTAATCTAATCTTCTCTAATTGCTTGATTTGACAAACTTTGACCTCGTACGCTAATCCATAAAGGAAATATATATCAAATGTGGTTTTAATTAGACTTGTATTAATTTGTATTTTCCATATATGTAAATTTTATAAATTTTTTCATTATGGAATTAAAGATATTTAGTGTAAAAAAAATTGCACATAAAACAATAAAGTATGATCTAAACTTCTCTATTCTCATATGATTTGAATCATTTGATATAAGTAACATGGTAGAATAAGGTGAACTAAGCATAACCTAAACTTGCTCAAAAATGTCAAATTACATGCAAAGCAATACATCTCGAATTGGTGATTGGACACCTGCAAATCAGGATCATCTAACTATTAACTAGGGAGCCGATTTAGCCCTTCTGTAAATTAAAAATCCTAATTCCTAACTTAACCTATTGGGTGGCAAGGCATATAAATGATATGAATGTAGAGACAGACTGGCAAAATCCTAAAGAACAATTGATGATATCTGGGAACAAGGCAAGAGGAAACATTGAGGAGGATAGGAAAATAAGAGGAATCCTCAAAATGTCATGAATGTCATCCAAATGGGCAAAATGCCTAAGCCAGGATTTAAAGGTCTGTGGATATCACTGCGGTGGAATGCCCAGGGCATGATAAACACAGCTTTATAATGAAATAGGTTGCGGTTAAAGCTCGCTCAAGAGGATGGCATCGTAAAGACAACCAAGTCACTAGTCAACTAGACTTCAGCTTGTCCCTTCTCAATCAATTTCTTCTCTAATTCCAATTATCTAACCCCAAGTCAGGATTTTTTACCACACATACATTCCCAAATTATTTAATCCATTACCAATTCTCTTATTCCAATTATCTAACCCCCAAGTCAGGGTTTTTAACCGATACATACATCTAAATTCACACTTCACACCAAAACCTGAAATGGTACTCTTTTCTTGAGAAAAGTACCATTTAAATAGTATTTATAGAGTTTTATAAAAATTTAACTTCTATTTTAGTCTTGCTTAAACTAGGCTAAACAAGACTTCATTCACAAAAAAATAAAATGATTCAACTGGATAGAGCAACTTTCTGCGAAATCAAATTTAAGAACCAAACTGCTTAGTTACAGCATGTTAAGCTATGAACAGGGTTTTAAGAGCACAACAAGGGTATTATGTACCTCAAGACTAATCGATAATAACAATTCCAAGCAGCAACACTCTGTGAACGCTGCTGAACAATGTAGCGTACATAGTCAAACCCATCAGATGGATCAGTAACATTCAAGGCTATTTCTGCAAAACAGGAGATGCAAGATGCAGCTTATTAACAACATAAAATAGTCATTCATAATATTCATTTTGATGGAATTGAAATGAAATTAAAGTGCAAAAAATATGGAAAATGGGAAAATATCAATCCACCATGAAGTCATGAACACAAGAACTAGATAAAGAGTCATGAAGAATCTTGTGTTAAACACTTACGAGCTCCTAGGGACTGAAATTTCTCCTTTTTCTCTGCAGGCAGTGTCTTGTAAGTTATTTTCAAAGTGAGCTTTATAAGTTCCAAAGCCTCACTATACCTTCTCAAAGATGTCAATGCTTTGCATAGCTAACACAAAAGCACACAGATGATCAGTTCAGGCAAATAAGCATAGCAATAGAACACAAGGATACATAAAGTTCACGATAAAGAACGAATTGATGGAGAAAAATAACACACTCATGACACAAACAGCCTATCTAAGGATCAAACTTGGAACATAAGTTCAGAGATCCTTCCTCTAAACGTAGATTTCTGGATGGCAGGTCTTAAGTTATAAATCTAAAATCATTAGCAAATAGGCAATCTCAGAAGCTTGCCATGGTGCACCTAAGGCATGCCTTGGCACAAGGCAACCTGGGCCATCAGAAATATGTTCACTTTTTAGTAAGTGAGCTTCACTCTGCGCATTAAGAACAAAAAAATTGAGCTTTCCAAAAGCGAAAACAAAGTTAATCACCATCAGGATTTAGACACCTTCACTTTTACCTACATTAAGAACAAAAAAACTTGGCAATTCATATGATACCACAGGTCTTCTAGTAATACTTTATAATCAAACCTTTCAAGGAGTTAAACATTGAGATTTGAGAACCCCAAGACTTGCTAATTAACAGAGGTCAAGTAGGTGCTGTCATCAAGCAGCCAATGTGATAAAATACTGTGTGTACAAATGAGAACTAGACAACATAAGTATCACAAAATTAATACATCCGGAGACAGGGAGCATAGAGCATGCCACCTACGCAAGCCATGTCACAGTTTAAATTTTACATAACATATAATTAGAGTTTCAGTTTGATATAACTAAAAACATATAGGGTAAAAACAATTCAAAGTTTAATTTACTTTAAAAAATTAGAATGTTTATAATTAGTAAATTAAGCATAATGTTTGCTACATAATTTACCATATATATACCATTAATAACAGGTCAAAATATACACTAAAACAATACACATATTTCATGTATTAGCACATCACATTATACAAATTAGGAAAATCTAGTTTTATTAGTTTTAATTGTCTCCAGTGCATGATTTTGACTCGATATCTTTATCTATAGACTTGAGAATTGTGAAAAGTTGATAATTTGAAAGCATAGATTGAAACAAATCTGACAAGATCACACATGACCATGTTCTCCTTGTATATAAATTATAAAACATGGTCAAAATTTGCTAAGTTTGATCCATGGAAAACAAGTAGGATTATTATACTTCCTCTATTCTTTTATTATTGCACCATAGAGGTTGGCACACTTTTTTTTGGTAGTGGGAAAAAGGAAGAGAGAGAGGGGTAAAATTACAAAGTTATCCATGTAATGTAAACATAAACTAAAGAATCAAGTGGCAAAAGTAAGGGTATATTAGGTATTTGTAGTGTGAATAGAGATATTTTGCTTCCTAAAATGGAAATGGTGCAATATTTGTGAAACTTCCTTAAAAGGAAAGTGGTGCAATAAATAAAGAATGGAGGAAGTAATAGAATTGAAGCTAGTAATTAGGGTTGGGAAATAAGCCTGAAACACACGTATTAATGGGATTACGAAATCTACCCTACAAAACAAGCTGGTGTATGTCAATGAAAACCAAAGTCAATTTACTACATGTCAAAAACTCCAATAAATTTACTTAGATTATTTCCGCATTTCCTAATATGCCTAAATCAGAAACTGTGATGGCAGAGAAATAAGATCAGACAGCGAGAAAAGGGAAATTCAGATAGGTCAAGCATACAACAGCCTGTAGACTTATATAGTAATGAAACAACTGAACTTTGGCAAGCCTTGATCAAAATAAAATGATATAATGTAACTTAACAATATTGTTCATGCAAGCAGCATTAGCATAGGAGTCATGTTACAAAGACTGACATCTGAAATGAGATTATAATGCTCCTCGTCCTTGAAGAGATCGGGCAATGGAGGCTCCTTCAATGGTTGTTGCTGAGCACATCCCAGACAAAAGAGTAATGAATAATCACATCCAACCAAAAAAATAAATAAAAAAAAAAAAAGGAATTTTCATCAGGATAGATTGAAGTTCCAAAGTAAAAAAATATGTTTCTACCGGAACATCATCTCCTGATTCATCACTCTCCCAATCAAGTCCAGCAGCCATTGCAGTAGATATCTTTTCTTCTTTGGATGTTGCTCTCTTTTTAAGCAACTTTGCAGCCCTATTAGCTTTCAACCTATAATGCAAGCATAGAGCAAAGTGAGATACATTCTCCATACACATAAATACCATTTTTTTGAAGGTCCACACCAATCATCCTGTATTCAGAATCTTCAACCTTGGAGGCATTGTAGGAAACTACCAAACAATTAGTATAAGAGCACAAATACTCCCTCTGCCCCAAGAGTAACTTCCCACTTCTCTTGGGTACATAGTTTTAGCCTTTTAGGAGAATATTTGTGGCGGGGCTTTGTCGAGTTAAGTGTATAAGAAAACACAATGTGATGTGCATATTGATTGTTTTACAAATGAGGTGAGAGAAAGTGGAGAGTTGGAGACTATAATGCTTTAAGGGATTAGAGAGAAGTTAAATAAAACAAGTAGAGGGGAAGCAAAACACTACTATATTAAGTAGAATAGTAAGACCTATCATAAATACCATTTTTTGAAGGTCCACACCAATCATCCTGTATTCAGAATCTTCAACCTTGGAGGCATTGTAGGAAACTACCAAACAATTAGTATAAGAGCACAAATACTCCCTCTGCCCCAAGAGTAACTTCCCACTTCTCTTGGGTACATAGTTTTAGCCTTTTAGGAGAATATTTGTGGCGGGGCTTTGTCGAGTTAAGTGTATAAGAAAACACAATGTGATGTGCATATTGATTGTTTTACAAATGAGGTGAGAGAAAGTGGAGAGTTGGAGACTATAATGCTTTAAGGGATTAGAGAGAAGTTAAATAAAACAAGTAGAGGGGAAGCAAAACACTACTATATTAAGTAGAATAGTAAGACCTATCATAAATACCATTTTTTGAAGGTCCACACCAATCATCCTGTATTCAGAATCTTCAACCTTGGAGGCATTGTAGGAAACTACCAAACAATTAGTATAAGAGCACAAATACTCCCTCTGCCCCAAGAGTAACTTCCCACTTCTCTTGGGTACATAGTTTTAGCCTTTTAGGAGAATATTTGTGGCGGGGCTTTGTTGAGTTAAGTGTATAAGAAAACACAATGTGATTTGCATATTGATTGTTTTACAAATGAGGTGAGAGAAAGTGGAGAGTTGGAGACTATAATGCTTTAAGGGATTAGAGAGAAGTTAAATAAAACAAGTAGAGGGGAAGCAAAACACTACTATATTAAGTAGAATAGTAAGACCTATCCAAGGGAAACTTGAGGAGTTTTTTGTGGAACAAGCATTTAGAGAGAAATAAGGTTTTTTTGTGAGACAGAGGGGTATATGACACTGCTAGTCTGCTACTGTGCCACAATGCAAGGAAGAATTTTTTTTTACAAATCTATAACCCCAAACACACAAACACAATATTGTAGGTGGATTAGTAGAAATTATTCGGTCGGAGTAAATTCTCTAATGACCTCACTACATATGTTTAGCAGAAGGCAAGACATACAAGAATATTTCAGTGGTGTTTTGGAAGTTCAAATCATCATATTCACCATCATTAAAGGAAAAAAATATTCTTCTAGTAAGATTCGGGGTCAAAGGATGCACATACTTACAACTCTTTTCTGGGAGCTGGCCTTCTAAAGTTTTGGAAGACAGAATCAGTTTGATGATCACCAAGAACTTTAACTCTCTCAGATAGTTCATTCATAGAGAGTCTTTTCCTCTGTTTTGCCTGGAACACATAGAAAAGAGAGGCCAGCACAGTTTACAAAGATGATAGGAATGTGATATGCAATCATACATCTCGGTAGATGGTTTATAATCATAGCATCTAGCAGATACAAAGACAGACATATCACATATGGTATTTTACTGTGCAAAAAGTCATGGATAACCAACAAAGAAATTATCACAAGTCTTGATTTAATTTTTTACCAGTTGAGTGGAAAGAAAGCTGGAAAATAAAAACATGGCACTAAATACAAAGGGAATAACAAAGAAAGTTTCTTGAGATTGCTTAGTTGCTGGTACAAGGAATGGGTATTGTCCAGGATTCATAAATAAATATATACTCATGTGAAAAAAAGTATAAACACAAAATACAGCCATAAAAGGTAGATGACTAAATGTAGATGGACATAGATGTGTGTTCTGTATTTGATTGTATTAAAACAGTTCCAGTTTGATCAAGTCCAACTTATATGCAATCCTAGTCATCATATCCCATCAGGATTCAAAGCTACAAATTCCCTAATCTATGGACAAGATTTACTCTCCCTGCTCTCCTTTCTCTCATTCCCTCTCCTTAAAGTAACCAACGGACTACCATCGATTATTGAAAGTCATTCAATCAAGAAGACCATACAGCAAGCAACATCCCTATTTTTAACCTCCCTTCTCTCCCTTGCTTCCTGTTTCTTTTTCTAAATTTAAACAACCTAACCAAGCTTCATGGTTGCAAATAAAACCAGCAATATCATCGAGGATCCATCAAAAATAAGTGAAGCAAATGTTATAGCATTTACTAACAACAGCAGTGACAATCACAAAGTAGGTATTAGGTAATGGAAGCACAGTCACAATTCAGGAAGGACAGCACGACATGAAGAACGGAAACCCATATGGAAAGGACTAATATCAAAACCTTAATTTTGGACTTTTAACTCATACACTAAGTGCTAAGCTACCTCACATTTCCATATTCACAGTAATCTAGTTCTAGACTTAACCATCTTTATATACTCAACATCAACCTTTATAAGGAGGAAAACAAGCTCTCATGTAGCCAGATTCACCAATATTTCCTTTTACTTATGATTCATGATTTTACATTAAATGTGAAGTCTTATAGTTTCCCAACAGCACCAATATTAAAAAGAGGCACATAAAAGGACGAAGCTAGAACTCCATACGTCCAACCCCAGGTAGGCCACTAGGCCTTTTTTTTTTTTTTTCCAAAGTTTGTATATAATATTAGCATTTTTTATCATATGCTTCCTGTGCTATTATGTAGTTGCAACAGTTTGACATTTGCACTTTTCACACACTCCTCTTTGATTCTTCATGATATATACTTCTAGAAAAATATGGGGTCTTGTTAAGTTTGTCTCAATTCATAGTTTCATACTATCAAAACTTTAAAAAATTTACATATTGATAATAACTAATATATGATTGAAATTTTCATTGACAAACGTGAAATGAGAGACGTTGCAACTAATAAAAAAACAGAGGAAGTACTATTCTAAACGTTTATAAATTAAAATACTTTCATAATGCTATATTTTAACCATTTATTAAATTTAAGACAATTTTTGATAATAGACAATTAATGGTTATAGTTGAAAAGTTTAAAAAAGTTTAAAAGCGGAGACCGCTCTTCAAAGGAAAGAATAAAAGCACAGGAAAAAATGATATAGACAAAGTTAGGCAATCAATGGCTTGGCATTTGAGCCATGGAGCAGGGAAAACAACTTGTGTATGATTGAAAAATGCAATAAACATAAACTAACCTAAGGAGGGGAATTATGGGCAGTCTAGTACTATTATTTAATGGTCTTTAGTTTTATTATAAATAGAGAGGGGAAAGGAAGAGGCAAGCAGACTTTTGGAGTAACTCAAGTCACTATTTTGAGAGTGGTGACCTAAAGTCACTAACAGAGATTAGCAGCCTAAAGTTGCTAACTTGTACAAATCCCCGTTTTCAATATTTTCAACAAAGATTCGATCTTTTCTCTCTGTTTGCTGTGTTAATTGTGTGTGTGAGGGTCCAGCAAGCTTGAGTCCATTACATAAAACTCCTACTTCCACTACTGCAATAACACTATTATATTTTAGTATGCTTTGCTTGATTTGTAATCTTCACATCATCCATTGGGTCCAGAAAAATATGACAGGGGCCTTGGCCTTCTTGACCATCCTATAATGAAATAAACTGTACGATGAATATTGGCTTGAGTCTGTCTTTCAGAAAAAATATATGTACTAGTCCCAAAGCAACTAGGAGTGAGGTTGCATAGGTCTCCACCTCACTAAACCCTACGTACGCCGAGATCCACACTAAGGCATGCTTGTTTGTGTTTTTTTAGCATTTCAATTGCCCAAAACAGACACAAATTTTACCGTTCATACACATGGCATGACAAAACAACTCAACATAGAATTAAATAATATCTGCTTGATTATTAGCTGCAGGAACTTCCTCGAGAATAGACATAATGCCCTAATAGATGCATGTTCCACGTAAGTATGTTGGATATACAGATAAACAAGCATGACTGAAAACAGGTGTGGATACATGCAAGTGCAAACTCATGTGTCTGATTGTATGGATGCATAAACAAGAGACAATCACTTCCAGAGGCTACAATTTCAAAAAAAGTACCTTCTGATCCATCGAATCAATCTTAAGTGATTCATGAATAATGGGGTAGATCACTTCAACAAAGGCCTCGAGCTTCCCTTTAGTTCTATAAATTTGAGCTAACCTCAACTTTACTTTCACATTGAGCCACCAAGGTTCTGATTTATCTGCATGCATGTCCTTTGAGAATACTGGAAGAAAAGAATATTTCACATGAGAGGATGTCATGTAACTCTGATCCCCAAATGTTTTTAGTAGGAAAAGCAGTCAAGAAACATGCCACATCACTACCTGGGTTAGGTGGAGGTGAAAGCAATTCAACCGCTTCTTCTTCTCTGTTTTCCTTAAGGAGAAGGGAAGCTAGAGTTAAACGAGCATCAATGTCATCTTCACTTGCTTGTAATCCTGAAATGAGAGACTAGTTACTAGCAAGAATTAAGGTGGTCAAACCACATCAATTTTTTAAGCAACATCATATAGTATATACTACGAGTACGAGCAAAGTTCACAGCTTACAACATTCTCAGCTAAAATAGATTTCTACACTAGACAAAGCAATCTCAATGAAGCAGGTGAATGCTGGGAGGTGGGACCTATACCTTAGATACAAGGCAATATGCAGCTATTACAGATACTGTTCAACTTATAACACTACAATACAATCAAAACAGTTACTCTCTCTAACCCAAAATAATTGAATACATTTGACCTGGGTTTTGATTAAGAAAAAAAGTTATAATGCCATTAATTTTTTCACAATTCAGAATCTATATTTCTGCCAGTCACAGTGATACAACGACCAAGGTTAACAGAAAAGGTGCAGTGTGATACTAAACACAAAGAGTATTCTATCAGTTTTGGGATGGGTTACAATCAAAATCTAACCTTGCATATATCGTCAATATCGATATAGAAATGGATTCACCTCAATTATATGATAACCAATTTCATGCTAATGTAAGAGCCTATCCTGAGAGGGAGATAGGGTTGAAAATCTGAAAACTTTATTATAAAAGGAAATAAGGAATGAATCTGGTCCCAAAGACAAATGAATTGATACTAGTAATACTGGAGAAATTTCAATGAAGTTGATATTTAAGAATAAATTGTGGCAAGATTGGGTCACTCATTCAAAAATAATTTGGGCGGTGGAAAGATTATCAAGTTCATGCTTGGCATACTTTCTGATAGAATTCTTAAAAGCTGACCTGACACGAGAAACTAGAGCTGTCAAAAGTTGACCCAAACCATGAACCTAGCACAAAATTAGCAGTTTCTGTCACAATATTTGACCCAGTCAAGTAATTAAATGACACAACCTGTCAACCCGACACGTTTAAATCAAAGTTAGGTTAGGATTGAGAATTTTAACCCGCAAAAACCTGTCATCTTATTACATGACTTTGGCATTTATAGATTCACTGAGAACTACGCAATTACTTTTTTTTCAACATATTGGACTATTTGTAGTTTGGGTGGATTGGGCCTTATATAATAATAAAAAAAATTCTTTCAAGATTGGTTAGTAATTGATTTAATAAAATATTCTAGAGTACTTGTGGAAAACCTCATTATAGAATCATCCTCAGACATTTTTTATTCACTCACTTCTCTCTCTTCCCCTTTCTTTCTTCTCCCCCTTCTCTCTCAGTTGTGAAAATATTTTACCTCACATACTCCCAAGAAGCTGTCAGTCTGCAACTTCAACCTTCACAATTAAAAACCTCGTATTTTCAAAAACCATAGAAATCTGAATCAAGGTGATTATTAATTGGACCTTTGGTTTGGTTGATGGTATTATAAATTTAAGTAGAATCTAGTTTACTACTACGTATTTGTAATTATAAGTTGTGAATCGCTAAATCTCTTTCTTGCAAATTGCGTCTTCTCACATGAGTATTTTATCTCTTGTATTAATAAATTGTATGGATCACATATATGACATCAAATGTAATGGTTTTATTTTTTTTAATCAGTTGATTCAAAATCAGCATAAACATAAGAGTTAATTAGGTTATGCGGGTCAGACTAGATTAGGCAGGTTAGGTCATGTTGCGTTCAGGTCTGTCCAGACTTACCTGTTTAAATAAACAGGTTATGGTTCAGGTCATGGGTTCCAACCAGTATAAGATTGAACCCGATAAGAATCAAAAACTCAAATTGATATGAATTGTCTTGACCCAAAACCTATAAAGCTCAAAACACAATTCAACTCAAGATATTATAAATTAGGCTCTAGGAAAAAAATAATAACTCTCGGTTCAACCCAACCTATTATTTACAAGATCTGAGAAAAAGTTGACACCTAATTCAGCACAACCTGTATCAAACCTTGATTCAAATATGACATGAGTACTGAAAACGAGTTCCAATAAATCTCAAATTAATCAAACAAATAAATTAGGGGTATTAAATAGCCGTAAGATCAAATATACCAAACAGATAACACCACAGCACTGCATTAGTTAGTATGACGAAATGAGAAATATGATTAACTCAATTCAACTTACTTATAACTGGGCACTAAATAAATTAATTTCATGCCTATAAGGCTATAAGCTTAAAGAAGAGTAAGGAAAAGTGCTGCAGAAAAATTGCAAACCTTTGTAGAAAAACTGGATAGCTGAAGCAGCTTTTTCCAGAGCAGAGTAGCAGTGAGCAATTTTCAGACTTACGAGCTCCTACCAAAATGAAACTCAATATAGTCTTGGAAAATATTCAAATAGAGAAAGAATTTATCCTAGGAAATTAAAAATTAAAAATTAAAAAGTAATAGTAATATAATAATAATAATAATAATAATAAATTCAAAAAAAAAAAAAAAAAAAAAAAAGGTAACATCTCACAACAGCTCTCGAGGATTTTTGAATAAGGTACAACTTGTACTGTTATTAGGCACTTGGTATTTTGATGATGCAGGCTGCTTTACTTCTATACAGCCTTTTGTAGATAGTCTAGTAGCCAGTTTACTGTATAGATATACTTCATATATTTCATTTCTAATTAATTCATTATCAACATTTAAGGCTCGTTTAACTTTGAGTCTTTAACCCCTTCAAAATCTTGATCAATTAAACAAGCATAAGTCCCCAATTATTCATTTCTTACGAGTCTGCATAACAACTATTCATTTCTTATGAGTCTGCATAACGACTATTCATTTCTTCTGTTCATATTGCTTTTATTATGATGTCATGAGATTCAATACACAAAACCCATATACTACTATACTAGGCAACAAGCACAAGTCCCTCATTATTTGTTCCTTATCAATGTGCATAGCAAATATTCATTTCTTATGTTTACGATGTGATGTCATGAAATTCAATACACAAAACCCGGCTATCACTCAAATTGGGACAGGGAATCAGATGTATGTAGCTCAAAACCTATGTTACTCAGACTATTCAACTCCCCTCAAGTACTTGTGTCACACCCTCGCCACTCCAATTTAAGTATGCACTTGAGTGACTTGAGCCTTGATATTTCATTTTAAACCAAAAAAACAAGGAAATTTTGCATAAAAAAGCTAAATTCTGACACTTAGCATGCAACATAACAGTACACATTGCTAAGCAAACACAAAAAATGAAGAAAATTTCAAACACAGTAATAAATGACCATACATTTTTTAAGACACAGCCGTCTAACATCAGATAATACTTCAATGCTAACTCGTGTTGGTGCAGATTCACATATGAGTTGGCCACTGCCATCATATAGTCCATTTGCTGTTCCACATTATTCCTTTGAAGAAGAGAGAAACAAATCTGTACATCATTGGAAAAATAATAATACAATAAGTGTAGAGGTACCAATATCATTTTGACCATAACTACATAATTCTTTCTATCAGGCAATCAGCAATTAACAAATACAAGCCTTTGCAGATCAATAACAATTTTTTTTTTTTTTTTTTTTTTTTTTTGGGAAGGGGGGGGGGGGGGGGGGGAAGGGTTTGGTGGGGGGTGGGGGTGGGGTTGCTGGTAAGGCACTAAGGCATACATGTCAGACAAGAAAGCAAGTAGTATATGTAGCTAAGCATTCAAGCAACCAGAAAACAAATAAACCAACATTATAAGTTAATGCTTTCAGTATCATTTAAAAATCATACCTCTGCTTTCTCTATATTCCCAAGATGAGCATGGCAAATGCCTTCTCTTACTCTCAGACATAAAGGAAACTCTTTCACTAAACCACAGGCTTTCTTTGCATGCTCAATGTGCTGAAGTGCTTTAGTATAGGAATTGCTTTCTATGAAGAATAAAGCCAACATATCAACTACGGTTAAATCAGCTTCAGAAGGATGGTTGTTCAGGTAGTCCTCCAAAATAGTAATAGAACGTTCAAATTGGCCAGATCGTTTGTACAACTGCAAAATAAAACTAGTAAAAGACATAACATTTTCAAAATATAAAACATTACTATCTCTCATTGAAAAAGATTGTTCTCCTTTCTACTTTGGTAAGTTTCAAATAAGTAATAACAGAATTATTACAACACATTTTACATGTCCTCTTGACCAAATAAAACATTTGATTTTACGCATGAGATTAAATACTACTCGTATATACAGAGAAGATACATCCTCAGATTTAATCTTCAGATGAGAAGTGCACAAATCATAGCAAGGCTGTATAAAGAAATTTGTAATATGACAACATCTTATTCAGGCCAATCACAACACAGAACCAAAATGGCTTTGCATCAGTAACAATGTCACAAAGAGCCCTTGAATTTTTTATAAGGATCTTTTTACTGATTGCTATAATGGAAATTCAGAATTATTCAAAATGATAATCTTTGTATTTTCTACTAGTAATACGGTAATACAAACGGGCATGAAATATAAGGTCAATGAGTAGAAAAACAAGCCTAGGAGTTTAAGGCATCATAATCGGAACTTTTTCCTACTAAATGTGTATCATTTCTCTGTCACAGTAGCAAACACCACACATTCTTCTAAAGGTCAGAAGTCATCATAAAGGGCATAGTGAGACATCAAATATTACAAGTGACACGGCAATCCAAGTCATCAGTAAAAAAAAGAAAAATATACATAAAAATTAAAGATCTACTATAGAAATTTAAAAATGAGGATCAGGACTATACCATTGCAGCAGTCTTGAGTGCTTCTACATTATCAGGGCAGATTTGAACTATCTGATCATACGATTCAGCAGCTTTTGAAAAATCTCCTGCCTCCATGCAAAGTGAAGCACGATGGTACCTGAGTGTAATATCAGCTGGATCCGCAGTAATTGCCTTAGAAAGACACCACCAAGCTTGACCAATGTTACCCAGCTCTCTGCATAAAAAATTATGAGACCATCAAATCAAGTAAAATTATCACCAGCAAATTGTAAAGTATCTGATAATGGAGCAAAACTCTTGAAAAATTCTACAACTGAACCTCATGAGAAATCCATTTCTAAAATTTCATAAATACAAACAATATGAACACCTCAAAAGTATAAAAAAAATCAGACGGAAATAAGATAGTGATGGGTTTATAAAATATTAGCCTATCAAGGCTCCCCTTTTAAAGCTTATATCGACCCTTCTAAAAGTCTACTTGGAGTTTTTGACATTACCAATTATTTACAGAAGTGTTGGGCTAAGTTGGTTCGATTAATAACAAAGCCACTCACAAAATCTATTCTTTCAAGTAAGAATATTGAGACCTAAAATGCTGTTTCCATGATCACCTCAGTTCAGCTAGGTTACAAGTAATGTGGGGAGCCATTGCCAATGATCTGTGGCCAACCATTGCAAGGCAAGAAATGACCCGCAAAGAGTTTGGTGAGTGATAATAATAAAAAATTTGTCTATAATCTATATTATAATAGGTTATGTCCCAAGTGGACGGATCTCCATTACCAAGTATGTGTTTTTCTGCATATATTTTCATTCTCATTCATTACCCTCAATTATGGAAGTAATTTAGGGTGATAATTAGTAGTAATAAAAAAAAAAAAAAAAGAAAGAAAGAAAGAAAGAGAATGGTAATCCATAACCTGGGACATTCTCAGTCTCACTAACGAACATTCCGTAGAGAATTACACACAATCTCATGACTAATTGACTATCACCTCAATTTGCCACCTTGTTGGCCTGCACCAAAGGGCCATCAATCTTTTAGAAATGTTAATGGAAATTTCAGTGAACCCTAACTTTCAACCATAAACAAAATGTGCCTTTAATGATGTGTTACCCCATAGTAATTAACTTATATGGCCTATATGGGTGAAAATGAAGTATCAGAGTTTTATGGGTTTTCGTTTTTGTCAGCCAATGGGCCACACATGAAATTTGAAAGCGGATCTTTTCCAAAATGCTTATGGTAACCAAATTTTTACGCTTACTCTCCTTTTTCCCTCTATAATATTGTAAGAGGGTGTTTAGATCAAATATGAAAAATAGGTATAAGGTATGGGTTTAAAAAAACTAAAACTTAAAACCCATACAGACATACCTACTGTTTGTGAAATTTTCAATTTCTAAACCTATACCTTGAACCCACAACATATGGGGGTATAGAAACCAAGGAGGAAGTTGAGATGGCTCATAACAAACCAATAGGTATCAAGTAAAAGGAAAAAGAATATTAATCATTTTTGGATAAAAACAAACACATGGCATTAAGAAACAAGTTTCAAACCCATACCACCTTGATTTCATTAAATCCAAACCCATACCAATTTATAAACCAAACATCTCCTAAAGTGTTGTAAACGTATTAGTGGTATTACTCTTAGTTTGAACTTGATATCTTAACAACTTAAGACCGATTTTGTTACAAAACTATTATATTAAAATTTGCTTTATGTGGCTTTGGATACTTACATTTAAAGAAGAAAAGGTACATAAAGCTATTTTCACTTGTGTTCAAGTACTCCATATGTTCCATATTCCTCCTTTTTAGAATAGAAATAAGTTGATTGAAAAATTACATCAAAAGCTATGTAATATAAACATCACATTCCAGACAGGGGATTTTCTTCCTTTTTTCCAAATAAGTCGGCGAATTCAAAGCATTCCCAAGGATTTGTCTTTGAGTTTCCCACATGAACAAAGAATAATCAAAAAGTTCAAGGATGCTTACATGGACCAAGTCACAAGCGGTTTCCACAAAGGTGATTCTTTTGGACCAAAATTTGCAGCTAACATATAGCAGTTCACAGATTTCACTTTGTCGCCCATAGAGTTATATACGAGCCCAAGTGTATGATATGGATCCGGTAGGTTTGGGGCCAGTAGAACCACTTCTCTCAACAATCTGATAGCCTAAGACAGAATGACTAGAAAGTTAATGGACACCAAACAAACTAAGTTGAGACAGGAGTAATGTTGAGCTGAAAAGCACCTAAACATTAAGCTTAATTAAGCATAATAACGTTAGTGGAGTAATATGAGTAACTACAATGAACTACACAAAACAATGTATATTATCAGTGAAAAAAATAATGATACCACAAAATAAGAGATGCTCGATCCAAATATGGACCACACCATAGACTGGGTCATAACTCAGAAGAGGTAAAGATGTAGACATAATAAAGAATAGCCAGAGTAAGACAATGTGAAGTGGTAGATCAACGAAACATAATTAACTTGATAAATTATTAAACCAGCATATATAAACTAAATCAGCACATTATCAACTGTTCAAATTACTATTTCCAGGCAATATTGCAAGCAGAGAAAGGGTGTAGCTTGCACACATTATACAAAAGAGAAAAGCGTTTAAATTGGTTTAGAATGGGAGCAGGGGCGGGGGGCAAAGAATTCCGGGGCCCTGTGCGATATCTTAAAATTGGGCCCTTAAAAAAAATCGATTAAAGAATACTAATAGTAATAAATTGTCACGTTATGCAGCAAATACTTCAAGATAACACCAGGAATTGAAGATTGTAAAATTGTCATATATCCCAATAATTCAAATTGCAAATTTAATATACGAAATTTCGTTGCAAAATAAAAATAAAAATAAAAAAACAGAAATTTCAACAACCTGTTTTTACCAAAATATAAATAAATTACTCCATCATTTAAAGTTACACACAATAAGATATGATAAAGAAAGTAAAAGATACAATATTTACTTACAAACTCGTCAATTAATTGCTGGGATGAATTTGAGACTTTAGTCTACTTTTGTGTAAAAAATGGAAACCTTGTAAAAAATGGAAACCTTGAATGAGAGAGAAAGTAGATTCAAGAAATAAGAGAGGAGATAGAAGCAAATGAACAAATAGATAATCTTAGAAAGAGAAAGAGCAATAAGGAAAATAAATAAAATAATGAAAAAAAGAAGTCTCCAGAATTTTCTAAACCACTCTAATTGATCGAAAAAAGAGAAATAAGGTAAACAAAAAAAGTTAGGTAAGTTGATGGCTTTTTATTAGAAATATAGGTGGAATCAATGTTCAAACCCCTGACCTTCTCTTCAATGCACTACCACCTTACCAGTGAACCAAGAATACTTAAGTTGTTCAATATACTCAAAATAAGTTATACATAATTTTGGGGCCCCATAAATTGAGGGGCCCTGTGCGGTCGCCCAACGTGCACCATGTCAGTGCCGCCCCTGAATGGGAGATATTAAAAAAGGAAGAACTCAAAACTGAATTCTTGATTTATAAAGAAGTGATAATCAAAGCAAGGCAAAGCAAGGCAGAAAGGCAGATATACAGGGCACGATTGCTATGACAAGTTAAGTGTATTGACAAATACATGCTGCATCAGCACATTGCCAAATTGTTTAAAAGTTGAACACTTTCAGGGTGAATAACAAATGACAAAAGAGAAATGTAGCTTCCAGGCAAATAGGCAACCACACAAAGGGAAGATTTGGTTCAAATCGGTACAAAGTAGAAGAGATGGGAGTATGGGACAAACACGAACCACTACTATTCCTGGAAAATCGAGAACTATTAGCCAGAGTTTCCTAATTCTCGTACACCCCAGCATACCATGCTTTAGGCTTCCCCACTGATTCTCAATTTCTCAGCATTCCACAACTTTGAGAGGTCAAACAACTCTGAATAGCAAATCCCCTTCAACACAGCCCTAGACATGGTAGACCAAAAAGAAGGTGAATAATTTACTTTGGAGGTGTTTTAAATAGGTTTTTAGCCTGTTTTCCTAGGTTTACCATTTCAAACATTTGCACCAAGGGTAGACCTCTAGTATATACATTATCTTCCTGCCTCATAATCATTGACTTTAAAATTTGGCTAGAGCAAGAGAAATTTCAGAGCCTTGTTTTCTGTTTCTCAAAAGAACACCAGACACTGATGTGGTCAATTGGTAGTTTGACTCCTTACACTTCAAACTCGCCATGATTAATCGTATGTACCTCGGTGACGGTAGACTGTGAAGTGTGAACCCACAAGGTTTGAAGTCTGAACTGTGTTAACTGAGATAAGTTGCCCGTGTAAACTCTGGATATGCTATGTGGCAAAGCAACAAACAGGGAAAAGTCCTCAACTAGGCCCTCTATACACAAGCTTCCTCCGTGTTTTAGCTTCCCATTAATATCCCCACATTGCATGAATGGACCAGGACCTAAATACATTTAGGTTTCTAAAAAGTGAAGACTTCCTTTAAGTACAACTATGGATCAAACCCCCAGCAGGTGCAGCATCTCAATATACAGCCTTTGTAAACAATCACAAGTAGAACACACAACCAACACTCCAGTTTATGAAAAAAAATTTAAGCATCCTAAGGAAGTCTTCAACCCCTTGTAGAAGACAGTGCAAACCAGCATCAGCAATACCTAGAGTTAAACCATATTCTTCATGTGATGTGCTTTCTCTAACACTGCCACTAACAAAGTGAAGTGTAAGGATACTACTAATTAGCATAATTACTAGTACATACATAATGTTAGTAATGGGATTCTTCCCCAAATGTGGACCTCAACTTTCAAGTTAAGTGCCTCCCTAATTTTGAACATGAAGGAAACATGATCAACCCCCCAAATTGTGAACAATTGAACATAACCCGTTTAGTCTCCTTACTCATGCCAAAGAAAGCAAGTTTCATTTCCTTTCAAAATATTCACTTAAAACAAGTCAGAATTTCTAACTTTTCAAGAAAAATATAGGTAAACTCCTAGATAAGGAAATACTCAAGGACAATATAAGGATAAACATCTGCACAGGAAAGAACTCGTCTAAAAAAACAATGAGAATAAATAGACAAATAGAGTGCCAATCACGCTTCAGTCGTTAAAAGGTAACCCTAGGAAAAGCTGCATATAGTAGCCCAAAGAAAAGCACAGTAGGCCACTCTCAAAGCCTCATGACAATAGTTGTATTCTGAAAACTCCATCTTGTAAAAAGTGTTAAGAGTCGTACAGATTAGTTTGTAACTATCATTTATTTCGAATTACAAAATTTAAGGTTGGCCAATCATTCAGATTTTCAAAAAAAAAAATCCCCTTATTACTTCCACAATTTGCATGGCTGGCAATCTTACATGTAAAAGAGAAAAAAAAAAAAAAAAAAAAAAAAAAAAAAAAAAAGAGGGGGGTACAAACTATGTAATACAGTATCATATAAAAATAGAATATAAAAAAAAGCAAGAAGTGCCCTAACTTTTCCCAGAAAATAACTTGATCGCCAAATCGAACACTCCACAGACAGATGACAAACATCAAAGAACTTATACGGCTGTAAATCTTTGTGGGTGGTTGACCATAACTTAATTTTTGTACCACACCATCTTACACTAATTTGTCTGCTTCCAAAACAATTCCAATTATTATTTATAGCAAACCCTATACTACTACTAGTCTTAATTTATTATAAGTACAGTTGCATTCATTTTCACTCCCTAACCCAAACTACTAGAGAATAATCATTATCTAGAGAGTGTGCTAAACCTGAGAAGGCCAAAATCTTGCTCTGATCATGCAGGGAAGCAAAAAAAAAACCATAATTCAATGCGATTAAAGAGGAAAGGGAAAATACATCAATTGAGTAGACAATGATTGATTCAACTTAAAATTCAACTTCCAAAATTAAAAGAGGCACAAATGTTAAATAGAGCAACACATACTTCTTCATAGCGGCCATGTGCATAATGAAGATTAGCATCACCAAGCTTCCTTGTGATTTCAGTGCTAAGCTTATTTCTTGATCCTTTACGCCTCCCTCTCTTCTTAGGCTGTAGTATAGTATAAAACAAGAAAACAGAGTGAGATGTGATAAAACACGAAATAAAGTAGTAGTAAGGAGTAAGGGAGATATGCATATATCATAAGATATTAGATTACAGGTCACCATATAAAGAAGTTGCAAGTATAGTGTGTAGAATATAGATACTCCCAAACAAATTAAATAGCCTCACATTTTCAAAATATGCAATAACAAGAATAAAAAATAATAATAATAATAAAGAAAATTAAAAAAATAAATAAATAATTAATGTAGCTGCAAAATGTCCTGCCATGATAACTGCAGGCTGCAGCCAAGGATCCCAAAATACACACACTGACTACAAAAATAAGGAAAAGGAAGAGCAAGGACATGACCGGAATAATAAAAAGTGAAGAACTTCAACACCATGTAAGTGTAAAACATCACAGCATATAACTATCCAGAGCAAACAAACAAATAATTCTAACTATGACTAGTATAGTGGGAATTTGATAGAAAAAATTTCAACGCGTGGAAATGAAGCTTTCCGACAAGTTCTACAACAAGCACCATTGGTATAGATACATGCATTTAGTCAATATTGATAGATGAAAAATATATATCACAACATGATATTGATAAATTTCTCCCATCCAGATGTGGAACCAATTAATTAAACCCTTGTGAAGGCATAATCACAGCCCATAATAGATCCTTAAGCAACCAATTGGATGTTGGTGTAGTGGTGACACTTGGTAGGGAGAACCGCGTGTTTGATCCCCCACAACAACAATTGGGAGGGGATTGGAACCTAACCACCCAGAACTGAGCCCCAAATCCGGATTAGCCCAAAGAGTGAACCGGATGGAACACAAAAAAAAAAACAGATCCTTAAGCACATTAATAGACAGAATATTGTTGTTGCTGTTGTTGTTTTTTTTTTTTTTAATATCGATACGCTTATGCACCATATTGTCCACATATAGCTTTACATCTTCGTACACTTAACTTACGCATGTCCTAGTTATCCATGTCCTAATTACCTTGTTTTTACTTTCTTCAGACACAAATGTTCTTATATGCAATAAGTTTAATCTCTAAAGAAACCATTTTAACAGATAAAGAAAATTCCATCATAAAAACTTTGCAAAAACTCACTAAAGAAAACAGAGTCCCAATTATCAATATAATTACCTTCTTAGATCTTCGCCTAGAAGTATAACTCATGACCTCCTCCATTTCTGCAGGGGTTGCTCCAACATTAATCTCCGGCCTCTGCTTCTTAGCTGACCCTTCTCTGCCAAAATAACCAATTTGTAAAAATTTAATGTCAACTCACACCAGCAACATTCCCAAATAAAGCTTAATATAACCTGGGAGCTTCTACATATGATGTATTGAGCTTCTACATATGATGTATCAAACTGATTAAGAATGAAACCACACACTTGCACGCACACACACACACACACACCACCCACCCACCCACACACACACACACACACCCACACCCACACCCACACCCACACCACACACAACACACCACACACCACACACCACACACACACCCCCACACCCACACCCACACCCACCCCGCACCCCCACACACACACACCAACACCCACACACAACTATTCACAACTCAATAAATTATTCACAGATCTCCAAATCTCAGGAATCCAGGATATACCCTGAACTATTCACAACTCAAAAAATTATTCACAGATCTCAATCCAGGATATACCCTAATGAAATGATAGTAGCTGAATAAATTTGTGCTCCTACAACATTAATAAATCTAACAAATCCACAAGCAGCCAAAAAGTCATTATATTGCTGGAAAGCATTTATGCTGTGTAAGTGATCTACTTAGACTTTACATCGGAATAAGTAGCAGTGAAGAATATGCATTGAAGGTCTTTATGCAATTAAGAATATACGAGGACTAAAAGCAGTAAAATGAACCTTCAGGCAAAGTGAAGAATATGCACTTAAGGTCTTCAAATAAGTGCATATATGGCAGCGATTCCCAGGTATTAACCAGTTGAGACATAGTTCATAGTTGACAATGTACCAACAGTTTAACACCAACTTGCTAACTCAAAACACAAATTCGCTCAAAACAGATGATTGTCATATGCGTTTTCATGTTCTATCAAACCACTTTTGAATGCTACCTCTGCCAGGCTTTCTAAATACCCAAAAGATTGCATACATATTTGTTCTCTTCATCATAAATAAACTTATTGCATGAAAAATAAGTCATTTTGATAAGGGCTATCTGAGCTCAGAATTACAATGTGTTAAGATCAGTCAATTATATGCAAAAAAACACACTTATTTTTCCACATACATTAATGCCCCATCGCTATATAAAGTGTTGGTGCTAGACTGCTATTCATGCTAGACTGTTCTTGTTTCAATATACAATTAAATAATATTTTCTAAAAAAAAATTATGCAGAAGTCAACACAACTATAAGGAAATGAAAAAAAATGCAAGGTGATAAAGTAAATACCCTTGGCCTTTCCGCCTCTTCCCAACCAAAGTTCCATAGTTGAGCTTTTCCAGCTCTTGATAAAGTTGAACCTCAGAAGTACCTTCTTTAACAAAATCCAAAGGGTTTATATTCCCTTCAAATCTCACTGAACATTCCTCTTCCTCTTCTTCCTCCAACTCATTCTCGCCTTCTTCACCTTCTCCCTCCTCACCTCCATCACCATCTTCTTCGTTGTCTTCTTCTTCTTCCTCCTCCTCCTCTTCCCCATCTGATAATTCTCTCTCCTCAAAGATATTGTCTTCCTTCATCCCATCTTCGCTCTTCATCGAGATAAAACAATTCAAGTAACCCTGCAACAAATATAGGGAAATCATCGTGACCAAGTGATCTGTTGCAGTCATGTTAAATCACAAATTAAACAGAATTATTCGTACCCTTAACAAACATGGTCACAATTGAGTATAATACGTCATATAATTCAGTAAAATAAAAAAAAAAAAAAATGGCTCTGTTTGGTGGTAGCGTTTGAGGTAGCGATTAGCGTTTTGACTAGTCAAAACACTACTAGAAAAAATTTGAGAGTGTTTGGCAAGGTAGCGGTTCTAGTAGCGGTTAGCGATAGAGGTAGCGTTTAGGTAGCTTTTCTCAAACATTAAAAATATTAGTGTTTAGAAGAGGGGTAGCGTTTGACAAATTTTTATTACTTTTTAATTAATATTTATATGAATTTTGATATATTTTAGTATTGCAAACGCTACTTTTGTCAAACACTCATACTATCAACTGATCTTTTGACAGCTAACCTATACCCACTACTAATTGACAGCTACTCGCTACCTTACACTACTAGAAATAGGATGTTTTTCAACGGAAAAATTCCGTCGGGGTCACTTGAAATTCCGTCGGAATGCTCTGTCGCCAAAGCTTTTGTAGGAAATTTGCCCTTTCCCGATGGAATTTCCGTCGGAAATGCTAATTCCGACGGAAATACATTTGTCAAAGCTTGGTTTGACTTAAATTGGAAATCCGTCGCAACATTCCGACGGACTGATTTCCGTCGGAACATACACTCTTCCGACGGAATTTTCTGTCGGAATATCTGTATTTGCGAGGGAATATTATTCCATCGGAAATTTACAGTGCCTTATTCCGTCACAAATTTCAGACGGATTTCATTTCCCTAGTTTTTACGACGGAATTTTGCATCTGAATTTCCGTTGCAATATTCCGACGGATTAATTTTCCGTCGCAACAGCAGGGTTTCTGACGAATTATCCATCAAAAACTTGCTAATTTAATAAATTTATTGATTTTTTTTTTTGGGAATTACCACCATTCGAAACCTATACCTCCTGCACCTAATCCATGATAAAATTAAATAAATGATTTAATTATATATATATATATATATATATATATACACACACACACATTGTATGCGGCCATAAAACATAATCCAAATTAAGTACATGTACATACTACATTTAACTAAAGCTAAGCTACAGCCGGAATATCCTGCAGTGCTCCGCCACTACCCGGGTCATCCCTGGGTCCCGATGGGCAAACGACTCATAACTCCTCCCACCTCTCCTGGTTTCTCCACTCCATTGCGGCCATTGTTGCTTCAAGTCGGGCTTCCATCTCGACTTCCAATTCACTCCGGATTTCACTGCGAAGAGCCTGCACCCTATGCTCCATCTGATCCTGCATATGAGAAACAATGGAAGGCGTGTACTGCTGTGAAGACGTGGAAATTCGTCCCATCCGGCTGCCATAGTACAGCTTTGCACTTCGACCAAGTCCCTTCACACGACCCTTCTTGTTGCGACCACCCACGGTCTCCCAGTACAATTCATTCGGACTCTTCCGAATCCCTTGAATGCTTGCCTCTTCAACCTTCTTCTAGTAAGCCTCGTACAAGATATACATATGAAAAGGAGCAACTTACTAAGTTTAAGGAAGCATTTTTAACAAAATAGAACCAAGTGAGGCCTAAGTGACTTCTACGTTGCCCATTTTCTTCATTTATTACCAAATGAACTCTTTCTTTCTCATAACATGTCAATGATAGGTAGTTTTAGGTGCATAGACAAAAAAACCAAAGTAACTAAGTTTTGGGAACCATTTTCATCCAAATTCATACAAATGTGGCCTAGGTGACTTCTACTTTGCCCATTTTCAATGTTTCTTAGCAAATGAACTCTATCTTTCTCATAACATGTCAATGATAGGTAGTTTTAGGTGCATAGGGCTTCAAATGACAAAAAAAAACAAAGTAACTAAGTTTTAGGAACTTTTTTCATCCAAATTCATACAAATGTGGCCTAGGTGACTTCTACTTTGCCCATTTTCAATGTTTCTTAGCAAATGAACTCTTTCTTTCTCATAACATGTCAATGATATGTAGTTTAGGTGCATAGGGCTTCAAATGACAAAAAAAACCAAAGTAACTAAGTTTTAGGAACCTTTTTCATCCAAATGTGGACTAGGTGACTTCTACGTTGCCCATTTTATTCATTTATTACCGAATGAACTCTTTCTTTCTCATAACATATCAATGATATTCGTTGTTTTAGGTGTATAGGGCTTGAAATGACAACAAAAACCAAAGTAACTAAGTTTTAGGAACCTTTTTCATCCAAATTCATCCAAATGTGGCCTAGGTGACTTCTACATTGCCCATTTTCTTCATTTATTATCAAATGAACTCTTTCTTTCTCATATAATGTCAATGATAGGTAGTTTTAGGTGCATAGGGCTTGAAATGACAAAAAAAAAAACCTAAGTAACTAAGTTTTAGGAACCTTTTGTGCCTTGTACTCGAGGGTTTTTCGAATGCCATGTCACTAGGGTGTGCCATTGTACCTTGTACTCCAGGGTTTTTCGAATGTCATGTCATTTCCTCCGAAATGTTCTTGGTTACAAAGAGCCTTTGTAACCTGGGTGTGATCGGGAAATAAAATAAAACATTCAAAAGCACTAAGCTACCTTTAGAAGTCTTCTTGTATCGGTCGCTGCCACACACCCGCTGAGCATCATCCTTCCAAAACAACATACATCCTTTCGGGCATGCATGAATCTTTTCATGAGGCAGCTCAAAACCCTTCACAATCTTCTTCACCTCATAGAATGTATTGGCCATATGGTTGTTGTTAGCAATCGCTTTACTGACTAAAGAAGCAAACCTATCAACACATCTGTAGGGCAAATTATACTCACACTTTAGACTAGTAATTCTAGCAGTCATCTCTAGCCATCTCTAACACAGACAATGAACTCCCTTCGTATAATGATTGTTCAGAAGCCTTCAACAAATCTAGAAAATGCTTGGCTTGTGCATTAGGTTCCTCCTCTGAATGCCCTTGGTCTTTAGTATGACCAAAAGCATCGAAAACCATTTCACGATATTTGTTAGACCACCCTTCAAGAACTCCTAGAAACCCTTCCCCATGACACATCCACTCATAGTAATTAGGTAGAAAACCCTTGCGAAACAAATGAATTTTAACCGTTTCCGCATCCCAAAGCCGTTTGTTCTTACATTTAAAGCATGGACACCTAACTTCATTCGGGTTACTACTCTCGAGATGATCTTTGATGAACTGAATGAATTCATCAACCCCTTTCACGAACTCTGGATTAATAGAAAGCCCAACCTTCCTTTCATACATCCAGCTACGTTCTCTTCGTTTCATGATTACAACTTCTACACAACTCACGCATGTGTAATCACATTAGTCACAAAGCGTATTTAATACTCATTATCCATCAAAGTGTTATTGAAATGCAAATGCGCTTTAAAATGATGTCCAAGGGTCCTTATCACTCCAACCTAACCCATCCTTGTACGTTTAATCCCACTAATGAATGTAACCCAGGTTTTCAATTCTATGAAAAATCCGACAGCATTTCCATACAACTCTCCAAGTACACGATGTAGGCGATTAAACACACCTACATATGTATCCGGAGAACATTGTAGAGAAATAACAAGGCAGGATATTCCCTAGAATCAATAACAAGACATACATTCACCACCTAAGTGAGAATAAGCGTACAAGGACAGTCTCATCCGAGGACTATTCAAGACATACTCCTAATGTGTATGCCTTGAACGGGTATCTAGGCATATGATTATGCAAATGATTTATTTAAAAATATATAAACTAAACTAACATACATTATATTAAACAAATATATCATAATTAATCTAAACAAAACTAACATATCATAATATTAAACCAAAATAACATACATTATATAAAACTAAACTAAACTAAGCTACATTATATTAAACTAAACAAAACTAACTACATTATATTAAACTAAAGTAATCTAACATACATCATATTAAACTAAACCAAACCAAACTAACATATCATAATATTAAACTAAACTAACATACATTACATAAAACTAAACTAAATTAAACTACATTAGATTAAACTAAGCAAAACTAAACTAACATGCATTGTATTAGGGTTTGTAATGTGACAATTAAACCTAACTATTAGTACAAATCCTACACAAAAATTAAAAAAAAAATATATATATATATAAAAGGGTTAATTATTATTCCAAAATTAAATTAAATTGAAACAAAAGGGGAAAAGGAACTCACTATGGGTAGATAAAAACTCGGTGGTGGCTGCACGGCAAGCTCGGTGGAAGCGTCGTCGGTGGTGGCTGCAAAATAAGGGTGGTGGAGGAAATTAATTTATTAAAAATTTAAAAAAAGAAAAGGGGGAAAGTAGGAGGACTTACCGGAATTTGTGGTGGTTCTGGTCGCGGCGACGCAGGGGAGGAAGTCGGAGGTAGCTTGGTGGAGGTGGCTGCGAAGTACAGTTAGGGTTTTACCGGTTGTATTAAAAAAAATTTAAAAAAAAAAAACAAAAAAACAACAACACTGACCTTTTCCAACGGCGTCAGGGGCGGCAGAAGCTGGCTCTGGTGGCAGCGATGAACGGGTGTGGCTGAGGAAAATTGAATGATCAAATGGTCATCGGCATTCCGACGTCAATGTTTGTGGGAAGCTGAAGAGGAGGGGGGGAAATGGTGGTTTCAGGACTGATCATATGATTTATGTTATCTAACGAATCAACAATCACTCAAACTTATTAATATCATAATAATTTGAATACGGACGACAGAAAAGTAAAAATAACTTCTTATTTCCTTTTTTTTGTTTTTTGTTTTAAAAAAACAGCAAAACTGAAAACAAAAAACGATACCAAACAAAGAATTGGATTTTTTCCCAAAGTGAGCTTTATTGGCAAAGTATTAACCAAATTGGTCTCGTGGCAAAAGTATTTCCCAAACTAAGCTTCTGGGGTGAAACGCTGTCTCGGACAACGTTTTACACCCAGTTTTTTATAAAAAAAATTCAAGAAATAAAACCCAGTTTTTTATAAAAAAAATATGAAATACGAAGTTTGAGAAAAAAGTTAAACTACCATAAAACGCTACCTCAGACAGCATTTATTGTACAGCATAAAACGCAGCCTGAGGCAGGGGCGGCAGGGGAGGCGTTGGCAAGGGCAGTGGTTCTTTGTTTGTGACAATGAGAGTTAGTCAGAGAGAGAGTGTAAGTTGCGTTTGTAAAATTGAGAAAAAAAAAGCCACTGGAATTCGTTATAATTCCCCGCAAGAAACGCTGCCTGAGGTAGCGTTTCATTTAAAGATATAAACGCTGCCTCAAGCAGCGTTTATTTGTATAAAAAAGTATGAAATACGAAGTTTGAGAAAAAAAAAGTCAAATTACCATACGTTTTACGTCTTGAATTTTTTTAAAAAAAAAAAAACTGGGTGTAAAACGTTGTCCGAGACAGCGTTTCACCCCAGAAGCTTAGTTTGGGAAATACATTTGCCACGGTTTCGTAAATAATTTGCCAATAAAGCTCAATTTGGAAAAAAATCCCAAGGAATTAGCGGTTTTAAGCTTTTTATTTTTTAAAAAAAAAAAACAAAAGATGACGTGGACGGTAAGTCCGGAATTTTATCAAATTGTAGCGTATATATGGAATTTTATTTTTTTTTAACATTATATATAGAAATTGCTCTGTTATATGCATAGGCAGATGCTCTAAGGGATAAGAGGGGTCAAAGGAACCCACTTACTTTGGTGTCAAATTTTTTAATTATATAGTAGAAGTAATGGATTTTTTTTTTTTCCAAGAGATTTGCCTTTCTTTTAATCAAACTTGACCCCACTTACATAGTTACATTGGAGTTAAATGACGTTTTACACTTCTATTGTGGGGCATTATATGTTCTATAGATTGTCTTCGTTGTATAAGACACATAATTAAAATAAATACTAGAAATAAAATTGAGATAATTAATAAATTTCACAAATTTATACTTACAAAATGATCCAAATCACAATATAAATATGAAAAATGTTAGTTGTTAAATTGAACCCACTTAATTAAAATTCTAGATCCGCCTCTGGTTGTAAGGGTTACTCGGTCAGTGCTACAAGCATTATTTCATCAGTGTTATACGAGTTACTCGATCAGTGTTATAAGAGCTACTTTGTTTTTTTACAAGTGATCACATGTTGTGGCCAGCCGTACACAAGATGGACTGGTCAATAAATTATTTGCGTTTTTTTTTTAATATTTAGCCCCTTAACTTCTACTGTTTTCCTTGTAAAAAATTAAAAAAAAAAATCCTCTATATGGTTTTGAAAAAAATAAAAAACAATATTGGAAGTTTTTTTTAAGGAATAGTGAAAGTTATGGAGCTATATATTTTTAATTTATTTTTTTTAAAAAAGTGCACATAATTTAAGGATTGGAGCTTTCAAGTGATATGGTGAAAAAAGTTAAGATAAAAATTGTGCAATTATAATTTAGATTTTTTTGTTAATATATAAAGAAACAAGATTTCGTTAATGATATATAGTCGAGTGACAAACCCTAAGAAATCTAAATTAAAAGACAAATACAAATATAGAACACCTTAAAATTAATTAAATCGCATATTCGATCAACAATAGCCTGAATTAAAAAAAAAAATCTAAAGCAATACAATCTGTGAGTTAGCACTAATTCAACATGCAATCCACTGATGCATAGTCAATTGGGTGAAAATACTCATGTAGTTCTTCAAATACTTACGGTGATTATAAAACCCTAGATCTTCAATCCTCGCCAAACGAACGAAATAAACCACAATTGAAAAAACATCACTGAACCAATGGACTATCATATCAAAGATAACAACATGCAATTGCTTTTAACGTAATTTTTGTTTTCGGAATTTATGAATTTTTTCAATCCAGTATGGGTTCAGCTGTATAATATATATCCCGTTTATTTTGTATGAACACATTTTACTATTTTAGTGTAAACAAATACAGAGTACATTTTGATCACATGTTCTTAACACTTATTGTTTTGCACAATAACTAAGACAAAGAATAGTGATTGTATATAAAAATGGTTGAGTGTAAGAAATTTTTAATTTTTTTTAATTTTTTTAAGTCGATTTAATGACACTTGAAAAATACGACATAGCGGAATAAAAAATATACTACGTACTTGAGAACTTCATATTCATAATGTTTTTAACATATACTCCGTCCTATTTGCACAAGAATTTACAAAAAAAATAAAAAAATGAAAAATTATAATGTGAAATAGTGAGCAACAGTAGAAAAAAAAGGTGAGGTGTGCAAAAACATGGGTGTTTAATTGTTTATGTAAAATGGATGGTTGGAGTAATAGAGATTAATGTTAAAAAAAAATATTGGATGTATGATGGAGTAAGAATAATAATATAGTTAGAGCAAAGAAGCTTTTGATACATAGGGCGCTAGATAATAGATGGATATGTTAAGAACATTATAAACAAAAAAAAAAAAAAAAAGTAAAATATGTTAAGAACATTATAAACAAAAAAAAAAAAAAAAGTAAAATATGTTAAGAACATTATGAAAAATATGCAGTTTACTAGAACGCGATGCCTACTACGGTTGCAAATCACTAGCACTGTATGTGTGTTTTACAAATATACCCTCAAATTAAAACTGCAAAATCTCAAAAATATACCCTATATGTTTTTTTGTTTTTTTTTTATTTTTATTTTTTATTTTTTTTAAAGAAATGCACTGCATATTTATAAGGATATAAACTTAAATTCTCTTGCGAAAAACAAATCAAATCTATTTTTTCTTACTTTTAACCATTTTTTTACACCATCCTCCTTGTCATAATTATTTATTGTGCAATGTGAAATGTCAAAATGTACTCTCCATTTATTTATTTTTCTTTATTTATTTGTTGGCATTCATACCACCTAGCATTAAGCAAATTAAATCCAATTCAATCCAATCTAGAGATTTTGTAAGAGAATCCAAATCAAACAATTTTTTTTTTTTTTTGTCTCAATCCAATTTACTCCCAAATATCAAATTCCCTAAAATACCCCTCCAACCCAAAAATTTACCTTGGGGATCAAGCGCACACACGTACATCTAACGTCATTCACACAAGTCAAACCCCCAACAAACAAACGACACCGTTTCATCACAAACAACAGCTGAAAAATTACCCTAAATCCCTGTAAATTCAAGAAAATGTCAAGGGTAAAATTGGAAAAAAAAGATTATATATATGGTTGAGAAAATGTTATCATGGTTTTTTAATTGCTGCGAAAAGGCGAGCGAGAGGAGCAGAGCAGTTTCCGTTATCCATTCTCTTTCTTCACCATTTATATTTTTCTGTCAGATATTTTTATTTTTTTCTTCGTCCAAAAAAAATAAAATTCGGAAATTAGGGTTTTTGATTTCAATCAAATTCGAGGTTTATCTTCAATCATGGTGTCTGATTCAACCATCAATGCTTCGATTCCTAATGTCTCCAAGGATTTCGGCAAGAAAAAACGGGTAATTAACATCTTATCTCTTTAATTTGATTTTATTTTGGGAAATTTTTTGTTGCATGAAAATTGTTTGATTTTGGTCTGAAAATGGAGTTTGTGATTGTTCAGGCGAATAGGTCGGCGAAATTGAAGCAGAGTAAGCTTGATGCTCGCCGTGAACAGTGGCTTTCTCAAGGTACTGCAATGTTTTATTATTATTATTTTTCTTGAAAATTTTGGATTGGTTTTCGATTAGTGTTTGAAGTTTGATTGATTGGTGAAATTTGTGATGAATATAATTTTAATAATAGTGAAGAACAAGAATTGCAAGGAGGAAGTGAATGTTCCTGTTGTTGATGTTGGTGGTGGTGGTGGTAAATTCAATGGGCCGGCGATTGAAACTCGGAATAAGGCGGCGCAGTGCTGTAAGGATTTAGAAGTGGTAAATCCGGGAGTTGAGGAGATCAGCCACCACTTTAGTGACTCAGAATCGTCCCCGTCGAATAGTCCGACGAGCAGCATTTCTAGGGGAAATGATTCAGGGATTACTTATACTGGTAGCAGCAGCAGCAGCAGCTCGAGCTTCAGCAGCGGCAGGGGATGCTTCTCAGGGAGTTTGACAGAAGAAGAGGATGGTGATGGTGGTGGTGGTTGTGAGGATGATGAGTGTTTGGATGATTGGGAGGCTGTTGCAGATGCTTTGGTTGGTGCTTCTGATGCTAATCAAGGTCATAACTCTAACTCTAATCTTTCCCCTGGCCGAGAAACCACGGATGGGTTGAATTTTGAAGGTCAGCTGCCTATCTGTGAGAATGTGGATGCTCAATTGGAGAAATCGAAGAGCGTTGGGGTTGGGATATTGGGCAGGGGTAGTGAGAATTGCAAAGCTTGGAGACCGGATGATGCTTTTAGGCCTCAGAGTTTGCCCAATTTGGCTAAACAGCATAGTTTTCCGTCTGGTGCAGAGAGGCTTCAAGGATTTGCAAACCCTTGGGTTCGTAACAACATGACTCCTCGCGTGCCTACATCGTGCCCTATATGCTGTGAGGATTTGGACTTGACGGACTCCAGTTTTCTCCCTTGCCCGTGTGGGTTCCATTTGTGCCTTTTTTGTCACAAGAGGATTCTTGAGGAGGATGCCCGTTGTCCTGGATGCAGGAAGGAGTATGCTTCAGAACCAGTAGAGAAGGAGGCCAGTGTGTCCGGTGGTAGTCTAACAATTCGTTTGGCTCGCTCTTGTAGCATGTCGTCTTCAAGGGTTTAGGATATAAAGTTGTCGTATTTCTTTTGGGCTCAGCTTATGTATGGTGGAATTCTCAGTTTTTACTTTGTGGTGTCTATCAGTGTTGTGTTGATCTAGCCTGATTCTAGTTCGTAGATGTGGGTATAAAAGCTTGTGGTTTTAAGCACCGAGTTATTGAGCTGGCTTGAATATAGAGAGTTTGGTCCTAATCTGTGTGATGCTTTTGCTGATTGTAGAGGAATTGATGCTAGTATGTGAATAGATAAGTGGTACAGAAATTGAATACATTAAAGATCATTACAATCTTGTCTGTTCTCTATTTGTTTTTGTCTTTTATGTTAGCAGCAAACTATTTGATCCTTGGATTTGATACTAGCTATATACTACGGATACGTATTTTGTTTCGTGCTGGAGAGAACTTGGTATCTGTTTCATCACATTGAAAGAGAATTTGATGGAAGAAGCTGAGATCCTTCTTTACTGCCTAGTATGTTTACTTCTTAATTCGCTTAATTTTTTTTTTTTTTCTCTGTGGTTCCATTTTATGTTTGTTTATGGAGTCTTTTTCGACTCTTTTTTACACCATTTATTTTTCAGTTTCACATATTCATAATTGATATTTTCAAAATCTTGTCTTAGAAGCACAACTTATGTAGGAGGCTGTGCTATTTATAGTGAGAGCTGTTAGTGCCCTCTGCTCGTTAAATACTGGTTTGACTCCACAACGAGGTTGTTGGGGATATCGAATTTGATTGCCATGATCTGAAAGGCTGATGAGGGGAAACTGACATTGGAACCTTCTTTTTCATTGTTTAATTACTACTCATATAGTCGTATCAAATAGTGGTTAGTCCTGCAGGTGGTTAAGACAACAACCCATAAATCTTCCATCTCTTAAAATTTCTCTAGGCCGAGCTTTTGTGCTTGGGGCACCTTGGTTTATTATTTAACTTCCAACACATTTTTTTTGGCTTAATACTCATTTATGTGTTATGCAACTTTCTCAGTTAAATTTCTAGAGAACTTAAATGGAACTTGCAGGAAATGTTCGTTCAGCTTGAAGGAAATTGCATGTTTGCATCTGGTTGGAAAAATTAAGAGCACTTACAGATGGTTTGGTGCTATGGCTCATAAGACAGGAACAAGAAACAGTACTGATATAGTGAAAATTTCTTGCCTGTAACTAATGTGTATCACTGATATGTTGTAAAGTCTGTATGGTAAATTGAAATTTAATGGCTTTTGTGTGATTGTGTGACATTCAGGATCTCTACGGTTTTGTACTGCATCTGATAGTGGCTCCTCATCAGTTGTGAAATAATCAAATAACTCAGACTGCTGTTGAGCAGCATTAATTTAAAGGAAGGCGGAAGCACATCATAAAAGGTCAAGATGGTTCAGTTTATAAATCTGTGAATAAGTGCATTAAAATTTTGAAGGAATATGGAATTTTTTTGATCCGGATCCGATACAAATCTCTAATCACAAAAATCTGGATCAAACATCTATTTTGGTTATATCTGATGATTTGGGTCTGAAATCTGAATATTCGAATAATAAAATCAAATTTTGGATTAAAAAATCCGGTTATCTGAATTTTCTGACTTTTTTTACTTAGCCCTTATGGAGTTAATGGAATATGACGGTGTTAACTTTGGTTTTATTGATAATTAAGGAGATGTTCTTTCTTCTATGAGAGCTATCTTGGAGCTATGGTTAGTATCTTGCTTGTTTCTGGCTCATTGTTGCTGAAGGTGGATCCAATTCTACTAAAGAAAATAAATCTTCTATAGTTCTATGTGTTTGGTGAAATCAGTGTCCGCTGCTGCCGGAAGAAATCATTTTGGTGCCCTTGCTGTTTTTATTGGCTATTATAGGTTATTGATTTAGGTATGTAATATGCCAGGTCCAGGATGCTGATCGTTATGTAGTGAGATAGAGAATTTGACCGATGAATTTCAATGATGTAATTTAGAATCATCCAGGATCTATAAGACAGGATCAATTATACAGCATTCAGTCATTCCTCTGAGTTTGCTTATATAAATGACCATGGAATTTGTTTTTTTTTTAGTTTGTTGGTTACAATTATTTCCCTCCGCCCCTTATTTTTGCACCATTTGACCCAAAAAGCTCTCACTAAAAATGGATCCATGGTGCAAAAAAAAAAAGGACTACAGAGGGGTACAATCTTGTTATTGTCATCATCATTGTTGTTGTTACATATTTTTAAGTTCTTTTTTAGCTTGGCCTGTGTAGACTAGCCTGAAATCTCTGAATTGTTCTGTAGTTTGACTGTTTGTTTTGGTATGGGCCTATGGGGCTTGATTTTTTGGGTTCGAGGAATGTTGTATCAGTTATTATTGAACAGTTCCTTTATGTTGTATGGGTACCTTGACAGCATGATCGGTAGTGCTGATGATCTCCAGTCATGGCAATGAACATTTTGTTTAAGGATCTAGTGGTTGTCTCAATTTTTTTTGATATTCTGTTAGATCGAGGCTTGATTGCCTGAGGGTGTCAAACATGTAGGGTTCTTTCTATCTATGCTTGGAAGAATATGCCATTTTTTTCTTTAATTTTTTTATTTCTTGGTCACATTTCCCTGGATAATGAAGCCATGAAGGTATAGTTTCATTTTGCATAATTTTGATGTAACTATGCATGATATACCATAGAGTTATAGGCCTTATAGCCATGTTATTTCTTAATGCATTTGTAGCTTTTATTTCATGTTACTTTCTAGCTTGAGTAGTGAAATGTTACAGCAAATATCTTTCAAACTAGTCCTTTTTTTAGTAATCATGTTTTGAAGTGATTGATGTCAAGGGTCTCTATATCCTGGTTTTGCTCTAATATGGTTTTTGATGTTTCTGCCAATTTTAATTTTCTTGAAGCTTGAAGATCTATGTGGGGCCATCATAATATAATTTGGGAATTATGACATGTAATTATGTTACTTTATCCAGGTAAGTTCCTTTATTATGCAAGCCAAAACTTCAGTGTAGAAAAATGTTATGCAGAGTTGTAATGTTGGTGCATCATTTACCCTGAGAAGTTGTATTGTGGAGAATAATTTTGACTACTGTTTTTGCTTTGGAGAGAGTTGATGAATTGATCTTCTTTGGTACTGATCATTTGTCTCCCATATGAAAGTGATATGGAGCTATGTATGGACTATGGTTTTGAAACCTATATTTTTTTCAAGCTTTTTGAGTAATTTGCTTGCTCACTTGTTTTGTAATCTTCAGACCACTTGATGTTTCTTCCTTTAATCTGTGTCAAAAGTTTTGAATCTTTTATCTAGTTCGAGAATGGACAGTTTGTACTCACATGCAGACTTTACTCACATTAGTGTGAATTTTTGTTGTAATTTCCTATGTTCCTCTTGCAAAGGTTGGACATAGGAAAGTGTCACTCCCCAGGTTTTTTTTTTTAATTTTTTATATTTATTTATTTTGTTTAAATTTTTTATTTTATTAAATTTTATGCATGTTTTTTTGGTCCAAAAGAAGTGTCAACTTATGTTGAGAGTCTTTTAACATCTGTATCCTGAACATTGTCGTGGTTAGTTACCATATCTTATTACCCCTACTTGCGCTCTATCTTGTTTCTGACCTGGGTGTGAAGAAATGCACATCACCTTTTAATGACAGAGATTAGAATTTGTGAAGTGAAGATGTAAAGTCAATTGTTCTTTTACTGGTGATTTGCCTGCAGTGTATGGCCTTGTTAATTCCACAAATTAAAAATGTGGTCTTACGTAATTATCTAGTTACATTGCAAACTATGGTGGTTGTACAAGTGATGTGCCATCTTCATTGTTTATCCATATTGATTCTCGTTGTCAACCTTTAATTGATTAACAGATCTGGAATGTTGTGTATGAAACAGGCTATTTGAAATGGTTTGTGCAACAATGCTCTAAAATTAACACGACACAAACATGAATCCTGGGTTCTAAGTCTTAATTGTTGTGGTTACACGATGGACATGGTTTATGTTGAGAAATTTTATGTCGAGATCTTAGAATCAGGTGGTATTCAATCACTTGTAACTTTTAGTCTGTGTCATTTGGGAATGGCTTATGACAGTATTATCATATTGCCTGGAGAGAAGAGACTACCAGTTTAGTTGTGCTGCCTTGTTTTGGATGTCAGTTTTTGTTAAGTTACAGAGTTGGTATGGGCCGTATGGCCATAGAATCGATGACAGAAATAAAAGCAGAGAGGGCAGAGACTATGTTAACCTCCCTCTGACAAATGTAAAGCTAATAACTGAGGCTAGCAACTTAGTGATAATCATTGTGTATGTGCGCCTGGTACTTTTGTCTTGGGCTATTTGTTGCTATACCAACCTTCTAGAAACTGATAGCTCATCTTTGAGCCTCCCTTTTGTGACTGAGTGTGCACCTATATCTGATTGCTTGTGCTGTCTTTTGAAGGTTATAATTGTTTCAGGCTTTCAGCAATGATTGAGATCAAGTAATGCCTGCTTAAGTTCTGTTTTGTTTAGTTATTGGAGTGATTTTTCTGATGTGCTGATATTTGTTCAATAGTTTTTAGAATGAATGCTAAATACTTTCTCGTAAGTTGGATAATTTGATGCTTAGTTATGTTTTGATAACCTGCAAGGGGGAATTGGACACAGTATTTTTTTTTATTTTTTTATTATTATTATTATGTTGTCCAATAGCTTTTAAATGAAGGCTATGTAGTTCTCTTAAGTTGGGTAAGGAAGCCCACCAGCGTCTGAAGATCAGGTTAGGCTTTGGGCATGGGAAAGGAGCTATAGCTCCCTTTTAAAATTCAACATTATTATGCCAACGATTTGCCTTATCTTGGACTGTAGCCAAAAAAATACTTTTAGTTGGGCGCTGCTGGAGATGAAAGATTTTCTGAGAGCCAGAACAAATTTGCTATATACTGTAATTTATAGTTAGGTATTTTGAGAAGTTAGTATTTGAAGACTAACCCTTCAGTTAGCATGTAAAACCAGAGATGCATTATTACATTGTTAATCTATCTTCTAATTATGCCCTATTTTTTTTTTTTTCTTCCAGATTCTGAACTCAGCTCTCTAGCTATTGTTATAGGTGCTAAGTATCTGTTTAAATTATCTCATTTGCTATTTTCTGAATTTGAACTCACGGTTATCTAGTTGTTGGTATCAGGTTCTTTGTGTCACTTAAAAGATGATGACATTTTCTATATTTTAGAATCTGAACCCACAATTATCTATTTATTTGTAGAGAGTGCTATGCATCTCTAGTGCCACAGCTGTTGTCTGTTTACAGGGGAAATTCAGAAAAAAAAAAGAAAAACATTTTTTCTAAGCATTACTTGTAAATTGTATTCTTGCAAATTGCTGATTCCGAAAGAGACTGGAGTATATAATATTATACATGAAATAGATCCCTGATGCAAGATACTGATCTATGTTGGATAGGGAGCCTCTTCCACCACTGGACAAAGGAGGATTCATTCAAGAATACGTCTTTGCCCAGCAGCTCATTCTGGGCCCATAATGATACATTTCTTTCAAGATGGAGAACTCTCTCCTCGACATTTTCAAAGTGCTGTGTGTTGCGAGTACTTATGCAAAGCTCCTCAACCTCAGCCCAGAAGCAGGATTCTGGCACTGGTTCAGCCTTCATTTTCTCCACGTGTTCACGCCATTTTTGTATGTATCTGTAACGTGATGGTCTACCTTTGTCCATGTACGATCCAGTGTCCTCGTTCTTTAAATGGCGGTAGTAGTTGGCTATATCCAAGGGCTCAACAAGGCGCCTGTACCTAGTACCAACCTCAATCCACTCTTTATTCCCCTCAAATTCATCAGGTAATTCATTTCTTTTCAACATCTCAATTATCTCATCCCATATGCCAGCTAATTCCAATCTCCTGATGTTGTTGTGGAAGTCTTCAGTGTGCTTTTGCATCTTAAAGGCGTCATAGTATCCTATTTTCCGAACCTCACTATTGGCTTGATATCTTTCAAGCATATCCAACACATCTCTGATTTTGTTTTTGTTGCTGCTGATCTTGATTTGGTTTCTAGCTTTCTGTTTTTCTAGCTCTCCTGCAGCTCGAAGACATAATCTGGCTCTTGCACTCTGGAATAACAATCAGCTTGTTATCAAAAGTTTTAATTTGGAGTACATGTTTGAAGTGTACAAAAAGGTTAGTTTAGAACTCACCAAGCCTAAATCATTCAAAGCACCACATACATTGAAATTTTCACCTTCTCCCATGTTTTCTGCCGATAAAGGCAGATCTTCCAGATGCTCCAAGTAAGCTACACGGTGCTTTGCCATGCTCTCGAGTAATTCGTGCTCATAGATTAAATGCTCTTTCAGGCTTCTCTGGGCTACCTCATTCCACTCTGATTCAGAGCCTAGCTGAAGGCAGTAAAACAAACTTTGGTGAATGGCATCAGAATTTTTTATAGTAACAAATTTTCCATTCCCAATGCAGAAGACATAGGTCCCAAAAGGTCTGTAAGGGCTAAGCTCAATAAAATTGGTCACATTTTCCAGTAACAAGTTTGTACACCCCATGAATTTGCAGGCTGCACGACTGGTCACTAATGAGACGTTTCTCATCACTGTCAGAACAAACGTTGAAGCTTCTGCTGTTCTTCCTACAGAATCACTTGCAAAAAAGGGAGATTTTGGATTGTAGTAATGCAGAATCGGCTGCAATTCTTTCTCTATAGAGGGAAGAGGAGTGAGGGAAATTCTAGGGATGATATCATATCTCATGATGAAGTGTGTGAAATATTGACTCCAATGTTCTCGTTTCACAGCATGGGTTAATACTTTGTCACCCACAAGCGGTGATCCAAAGGTTATACAGCGGGGCGGGCCGTGGTTGATGTGTCTCTGGTTCCAGGATTCCAAGAACCAAAGAGTTGCAAAGATAGCTGTTGCTGCACCTGAGGAATGTCCTGTGAACACTATCTGCTTCTCTGTTGCAGCTTTTTCCACCTGAGAATCTGAATTCTGTAAGTTAAATGTTCTCGTTTTTGAGTTCAATATATATATAATTTTCATGATAATACAAGCAATT